CCCCCCCCGCTATTTATACTCACAGTGATCGAAAAGCGACGGCTTAGATCAAAGCCAATCCGACGGCCCACAGTCGCACTGACCACACGTCCCCTAAGACCGAGACGTGATTGGCGCACGTCTTTCTGAAATTGACAGAGCGCCAACGCACGTCTTCCTGAAACTGACATAGCGCCGGCGCACGTCTTTTCGAAACTAACGGAATGCCAGCGCACGTCTCCTCACAATAAAAGCAGCAGCAACACGTTTTCAAATTTGAAAAGATGCATGCTGTCGCGCCTCCCAAGTGGCGCGCTTTTTTGAAATTTCGAAATAAAGCGCGCGTCCTTGCATCTATCACCGTTTAGGCAGGTTGGCACGTTTCCCGCCTTTTGGGCGCTTGAAGGAACTCAAGGAACCCTGACAACGCACCTCACGCCATCAGAACCAAGATTCAAAGTACAGGGCAAATCCACCTGACACCTTGCGAACTCCCCGCGCCAGGGCAAGACCCTTAATGCGAGGAGTGGGGGGCAATTGATGAAGGAAGATTTGGCCCGACCTCGCAATCACTCCATGTGGCAAAAACAAATGGCTCGGCACTTAAAATAGCGTACCCAGGGCGCAAGCACCAAAGGGAAGAAACCAGTAGTCTGAACTCTCTTCGAGGAGCCCGAACTCCCTACGAGGAGCCCGACCTACCTACGAGGAGCCCGACCTCCCTACTAAGAGCTCGACCTCCCTACTAAGAGCTCGAACTCCCTACGAGGAGCCCGACCTCCCTACGAGGAGCCCAAACTCTCCCTTGGGCCCCGAGCCACACAAGGCAGTGACCCGAATTGGCCCACCTCATGGTAGTTCGGGACACTCCCCTATCCGAACTCAAGACTTCACCTCGTTCGCCACTCCAGCACTTCGCCTCCGAGACGCCAAACTGAACAAACGTACCATACCTGACACCGAGGAGGTCCGTATCCAAGGGGCGGCGCATCTGAATGACTTGGGATCTGACGCTTGACAACCGCACTTCAACGGTCACCTACCACCGCCACCTGCCACCGTCATCTCCAGTCGCAGAGACGGCTCCGACAAAAGGAAGTAGTGGCGGTTCTGACCAGCAGCGGGGATGACACCCGAACTGGCAGGAGACCAAAGGTGACCGTACCCGACCTAACAGAAGCTTAGGAGTGAGTGCACGAGGTGGCTATAAAAGGCCTCCTACCCCCAAGAACAAGGTATGCAAACTTTGCGCTATCTGGTTTTATCTTGCCTTTAAAGGATTCTAACTTGAGCTTCGGAGCCTCCACACCGGGTTCCCCCCGGAGCTTTCTCATCTTCTTCATTTTAGGTTCCCCGCAATTCCGTTCAGAGGCAAGGTCGTTGACAGCTAAGACCAGCCGGATTGCGCACCATCAGGACCATTATTTGCATATCTAACAGCTAGCGTTTGGATATAGGTTGATCTTGATTCGTTTATATTTGGATTCGAATTGAACATCCATTTGATTTTTGTAGAAGAGTGTAGATCTCTTGCCAACAAAACACATTCCAAACCCCTATGACCCTACCAAGTACCAAATCCCTATGGTATTATGTTGGTAGGGTGTTAGATTCTTGGACTGGCCTGATGATCATTGAGAAAAAACACCCTAAAATAGATCAATATAATGAACCTGAAAGCATTCCCCGATCCAATACAACTTATTATGTTAACGGAAACAATCGAAATAGAGGGAAAATCGGAAAAAATACCTGAAAAATAGGAAGAAAACCAAAAAATGCTTCATTTAATCATCTAATTGATTGTTCGATGATGAAAACAGAGAGGTTGAAAAAATCCATTCCTCCCTTCAATTTGAATTCATGGGTTTTGGGCAAACCATTCGATACTTGACACATGTTGGCTCTAATCAATAAAGAAGTTCATCAAGTAGGCCTGATGGGAGCAGGCCTGTCAAAGATACCCGAAAATCCGAGGCCCAATTCGAGATCCAATCTGGTTATCTTGGATTTAGAATATGTATTTATGTAATCGGATCAAATTCGAACGTTACAGTCTACATCCAATTAATAATCAGACCGGATTTGGATTTGACCCAATGTGATTTGATTAAAATTTGAATATGATTATATTATAATATTTAATATTTTTAATATATAAATTCTATATAATTATATTAAAATTTATAAATATATATTTTAAACATTATATTATATATGAATTTATATATAATAAATTTAGTATGTTATATTTATATTAATTTATTATATAYAAAAGTTGAAAAATAAATAAATTTTTAATTTTACTAGTATTTTAGAGAATTTAAAGTTGAGTTAGATTAAATCCGAATCCAATATGAGTTTGTTAGGATTCGAATTCAAATCCGAGTCTTTAAATCCAATTGAATTTCAGATCAAATTTGAACGTAGGTTCTTAATATTCGGATCAGATGCGGATTTTCCTACATCCAATTAGAATCCGATCCGATTGCAGCCCTATTGGGGAGAAGATCAGATGAGGCCTAAGAGGAGTAAGTTCCATAGTGGTTTTATTATTATTTTATTTGTTACAAGCATGAACCATTAATTAAATAAATTTGGAAAAATAAAACTATTATTATTTTATTTGCTTTATCCAATTACAAGTGTTAACCATTAATTAAATAAAATTAGAAAACTAAAAAAGGGTAAAAATGAAAAGTGAAAATCAGGCTTTTTCACGAAACATTGTCACCATCCTCATTTTTATAAATGGTACAGACAACATTCTCATTTTTTAGTATGGTATAGAAATTTTTATGATTTTCTATATTTTTGTATTTTTTTTGCATATTTTCTTGTTTTTTCTATAATTTATATTGTTTTCTTCATTTTGAGGAGAAAGGTGCGTAGGATAAGAGAGATGCCATTTCTGCTTCCTCTTTCCTACTATAAAGTAAGGGGAGTGGATAAGATATACAATATGTAGAGAATGGTTTAAAGGAGAGAATTGGGGTTTTAGGATTTATGTCTTCGCTTCATGTGTGAATGACGACATTTGGCCTTTTTCCTCCTGCCATTCTGCTCATCAATGGTGGGGCCGTTATTTGCATATCTAATGGCTAGCATTAGGATATAGGTTAATCCTGTTTCATTTATATTCAGATTTGAATCGAATAACCTTTCGATTTATATAGAAGAATCTGGATCTCCTGCCAACAAAATGCATTCCAAACCCCTATGGCCCTGCCAAGTACAATCTCTATGATATTATGTTGGTAGGGTGTCAGATTACCAAATTGGCCCGATGATCATCAAGAAAAAACACCTAAAATGAATCAATATAATGAACCTAAGAGAATTTCCTAATCCAATACAACTTATTACGTTAACAGAGACAATTGAAAAAAAAAATAGGGAGAAAAAAAAACTTCATTTAATTATCTGATTGTTCCCTGATGAAAAGAGAGAGGTTGAAAAAATTCATTCTTCCCTTCAATTCAAATTTGTGGTTTGGGTAAACCATCCAATACTTGACACGTGTTGGCTCTAATCAATGAAGATGTTCGTTAAGTAGTTGCTTCGGGAGAAGATCAGATAAGGCGAGGAATAGGTTCCACAGTAGTCTTATTGTTATTTTATTTGTTTTATCCAATTACAAGTGTTAACCGTTAATTAAATAAAATTAAAAAATAAAATAAAAGCATAACGAAGGGTAAAAATGGAAAGTGAAAATCAAGCTTTAAAATAAAAAAAAATGATAAAGGGTAAAAATGAAAAATGAAAATTATGCTTTTTTAACACATGTTGGCTCTAATCAATGAAGAAGTTCGTTAAGTAGGTGCTTCGGGAGAAAATCAGATAAGGCGAGGCATAGGTTCCATAGTAGTCTTGTTGTTATTTTATTTGTTTTACCCAATTACAAGTGTTAACCGTTAATTAAATAAAATTGAAAAAATAAAAAACATAACAAAGAGTAAAAATGGAAAATGAAAATCAAGCTTTGAAATAAAAAAACATGATAAAGGGTAAAAATGGAACATGAAAATTAGGCTTTTTGACGAAACATTGTCACCCTCCTCATTTTTATAAATGAGAAAATGATGAGATACAAAGATTATCCAATTAAGTGTTAACCGTTAATTAAATAAAATTGGAAAAATAAAAAACATAATAAAGGGTAAAAATGAAAAGTGAAAATCAAGATTTAAAATAAAAACATGATAAAAGGTAAAAATGGAAAGTACCATTTTTATAAATGGTACAGATACATATATTTATATTATATTATATATATAATTCAAGGAGACGTAGGATTAGAAATATAAAATCAGCATTTTAAGAGGGGATAGGATTGAAAATATAAATCAGAATGTTGGATGATGGACGCTCATCTATTTCTCTTTTTTATAAATGGGTAAGATATACTTATAATCACAATTCTACGACTTCTCAAAATAGATTGTCACTTTTTTAAATTTTAGTGTCACATGCCAACATCACCTTAATAATTCAACATCACCAAGCACACACCTTTCTGAATCTCAAAGTTGATCGTTGCAATATTTTTTTTGAAAAGTGGATTGCTAAACACAATGTCTTTGGGGCCATGGGCATTTATAGATGAGGGTGTTTATTGCTTTAATCGCTTATTTGAAAAACTCTACTCTAAACATTTCTTGCTTTTGTTGTTTGATGGGAGATTGGGCATTACTTCAAATGTTTTACATTCCACCTCATATTAATACCCCATATAGCATGCCATGTAAGCATTTGACTAGATTTGACTTTTCCTCAAATGCCCCGTGCACATAATCCAATGCCTATGTGACACTGATATGGCAGCATTTTTTAAATAAACATAGCCAATTATTTAGTGTTTCTGTTTTCTTTCTGATGCGAAATGGAGCACTTGTAAAACTCTCCGGTGCCAAACAACCACCCAATCAGCAGAAGCCGTGGCGGTATCAAATACAAAAACTGCTTGGAGCAATATCCTGGGCTGTTTTGAGGGGATAATGACCAATTCCTTGGCACCGTAGTAAAAAAAAATTGGGGGCAAAAATGAATTGACTATAATAGTGTAATGTAACTTTACAAACTCAGCCGCATGGAACTGGCGCTAGGAACAATATTTACACACCTGAACCTGAACTAACCCGGAAAGCTCAAATGCTCCTTCCCTATTCCCTAACATGACGTTGAACAATTGGAATTTGCTGAATCGCTCTTTATCACCCGGGTGTTATACGATCCACAAAATCCACACTTGTGGTACAACCAGTGGAAGCGTGCACTTCCCTTTTTATCGCAGTCATTGCAAAGAATGTCCTGGATTTACCAATATCAGTAATTTGTTGTTTACCACACAGAAGTTCAGAAGATCTCAAAATGATGATGAGAAAAATAAGTAAATAGGAAGTGTACCTGACACCGATCCCTGTACTCTTCTGGAAGTTCCTCAGCAGCCAGCAAAGCATCGAGCATGCCAAAGTAGACCTGATGGTTTGCATTTCTTTTAGAAAAACTTCAAGATAAATTAAAAATTAAACAAAAAAACTTTGGCATATTATTATTATGTCCCAATAATTTTCTTTTGCTGCAAGTATAAGCTCAGATGGATTCAATTTCCTGGGACACAAGAGACAAGACTACCTACCAGCCAGTCTTAATTCTTGAACCAATAACTAGAAAAGGGGAAAGTGGAAAAATAAATGAGATTGAGAGCATGATCAATCTCAACCCACCAAAACAAGTTATAATTAAAGACAGCTAGTGAAAGCTTCAACTACACTAGATTCCAATTGTTTGACACAATTTGGCAGTTCTATATAAGGTCATGATTCCAGTATAATACTACCAATGCATACACACACACACACACCATGAAGACTTTCAATGGTGTAGGTCGGTAGGTCCCACATTTTAGATAAAATAGATTACAAACTAAACATAATTTGATTTCCTAAATTATATAGAAACCTAATTCAGATTTATCACAATGAGTAGATCTCAAACAAAATACATGTAGCTTCCCAATACTTGAATTCAGAGTGGTCATTACCTGAAGTCCATTTTAAATTGTGATCCCTCAAATCATTTCTCATTAACTCAGGTCCTCAGCCCATCTCTTTGGCTTCCTCCTAGTTCTTTATGGAACTTTAGACTTGCACCAGATCACTTTTTTCTTGCTAGTGATTTTCTATGTACATGGGAAACCATCTTAGTCTACTTTTCCTCATTTCATCACCTACCAGGGCACTTCTTTTAACTCCCATGAATATGCACATTTCTAATCCCTATCCATTTCAGTTTTTCCACTCATCCATCCCTACATCCACATCTCCACTACACTCATTTTTTGGACATGTTTGTTGACTGCCCAACTCTCTAATCCATTCAATATTGTCAGTCTTAAAGCTTTCTAAATATACGAGACTATTATAAAAGTTGATAATAAAATTATCTATAAAGAAAAAAAAAACATAGAATATGTGAAGGGGAAATTTTTTGATTGACCACTCAGATTAAGTAGCAAGTACTAGCCACTGGACCAAAGCATCATCAGATGGTGTCAACTCTCCCACTTCTGAGTTTGAACCAAGACTCAGGCAGTATTTTTTTTATTTTTTGGAAAAGGTAAAGTAATTTTATTCAGCTCAAAAAAACATACAAGCTGGGTTCAGACCCAGAAGGGCAGCCTGAAAACCACAGCAGTTACACTCTCCACCAGGAATTAGAACAAGAGAAAGAAGACTCGGGCAGTATTTGAAGCTTCAAACTCAGGCAATGCTGAATGAAGCCACAGCAGGAGTGCACCTTCAAATGGAGCAGTCAAGATCAATAACTTGGTGGGTAACATGTGGAAAGAAGTCCATTGATGAAGTTAGAAATACAAATTTATGGCATATGTCCATATCGAGGCATGTGAATATATGATATACTACAATCAAGTCTAAAAGGAAACTAACAATTTCTACCCTACAGCAAACATACAGTCATCAGCAATTCAGTAAAAATGTGTAATCCAAAAAGAATTAAGGCTTAGTTTGGAAAATTGGAAGGGGTGCAAATACAAATATGTAGAGTGCAAAACCTTGTATTTTATATTATTTTACATGTATTTGTACTTTATATATTTGTATTTGTACTGTTTCCAAGTTAAGCCTATAGAGTGAAAACTACGAAATCAGGTAGAAAATCTTTTCTTGACAGTAAAATATTAACACGTTAAACTTTTTTCTTTCAGTTGGGATCATATCAAACTTTCCATTTCTCATTAAACTTCAGAATTAGAAGCTCCATTTAAGTGTCATAAATCAATGAATCTTGGACAAGAAGAGTTGGAACTAATAATGTAATAGAGGAAAAGATGCAGTCCTCTTACCGCCATATCTCCCAAGGATTTGCTACATATTGGGCAGGTATAGTGACTGCAGGTGTACGCCTAAACATAACAGAAATTGAATAAGATTTAAGTATAAATGTCTTCCCAAAAACCCTTTCCTTACAACCAATTGAAAAAGGAACCATTTCCATAAAAAGAGGGAAAAGACAAGAGATCTTAAATGAAAGCTAAATGGTAACAAAGGACAGACCTGAAAGCAAGCTGAATGCATGAAATGGCCACAAGGAAGACCTCGGACTGCCGCACTTGATGTGAATAAGAAGTCGCAACAGATAGGGCAGTTTGTTTCCAGGCCTTTCTCCCGACACTTGTGGTCCACTAATTTCTTTCCCATACAACAATTGCATGTCATGCAATGGAAGAAATCAACACCAAGTCCCTTCCCAAGGCGGCACAAATTGCAAAATGGGCAATGGTACACAGTCCTGAAGTTTAATAATAAATAAAATATAATATATAGGAGAGAAAATGCAAAGAACTCTATATTTTAACAGCAACCATCCAACAATACATTAGGATTATCTAACTTCATAAGTAATTCTCATTTTTTAAATAAAAGCCCCAAGTGGAAAAGTATGTATGCTACTTCCATATAAACTAAATCAAGCAGAACAAATTAATTGTTTTCTGACATGGCATCACTTCAAGAGACAGATTAGAATAGAAGCTTACTTTCTACTCAGAAAGTCAGGTGCCAGGGGAAACTAGCAGAGATCAGCAATTCAAAAAACGCATTGAGCACAAATTCTGCACAATATATAGCAATCCCCTAGTACTAAGTATTATATTGTAACTTGTAAGTTAACTACACCATTCACACTGCACAAGAAATTTTTATTCTAACCAAGAAAAGAAATGATGGAAGATAGCAACTTGACTTAAAGTCAACAAACAGAAATGAATGCCGTTAGTGTATGACAGCAACAACACAAATAATCTTGGCATTTTTTTTCTTTTTGTTGAACTGGTAAAACAACCTATGCATCATATTAAGAATTACACAATTCTGTTGAAATTTGCTTTAAATAATCATGCAATGTGCAATCAGTTGACATATTTATTCATTAGAAGTTCTAATGCATATAAAAAACTTTAAACCCCCTCCAGAAAAAACAACATTGCAGAATAAAGCAGATATTCCTCATGAATAGAAAATATATCACATGAAAGGATAATCTTTAATAAGTTGAAATATAAGGGGGCTTTTTATTTATCAAAAAAACGGGGGACCTTTTCGATGCATAAATGAGTGTTCATTTGAAATGATATCCCAAATTTTATGAATTCACTGCAATAAAGAGAAACCAAAAGCATCATTTTAAGTGAAATTATTACAAAAATGATGGTAAAATTAGAAACGAATCATTTTAGGATAGCAAGAAATGAGCATTCCGTTTTTTATAATGATCTTACATTAACTACTTCATATTTAAAATTGAACTTGTGAATGAAATTTCTTGGAATTAAAAGAGTGTCATTGCAAATGAATTTCCCTTTCATAAGGTATTAATATGAGAACAGGGGATAACCTTACAAGCAGAATATACAAATATAGCTGTCCATATATGTCAACAGCTCAGAAAATTTCCCCTTTTATACCAAAATTTCTGAATTTTAAGGCAATCCAATTTAATATTGTTTCATGAAACAGTTGTAATATCTCTCCATCTTGCTGGGGACCAGAAAGTGCACTGCGAATGTAATTAAAAACTTGGATATTAGATATTAGTGCCACATCAATGCCCATAGAACCACACTAGAATGGGCAAAATGGAGGGGAGCATCCAGAGTCTTATGTGATAGGAGAATGCCACTTAAGTGAAAAGGCAAATTCTTTATAACAGTAGTAAAGCTAGCAATGTTGTATGGAGCAAGGAGTTGGCAAATCAAGAAACATGTATAAGAAATAATGTGTGGCAGAAATGTGAATGTTGAGATGGATGAGCAAGGAGTTGGCAAGTCAAAGCAAATAGAGAAAGCCATTACCACCTTCTAATCTCCTGTTCTTTTGTTGTAGGTATCTGGGAAAAGATTTTTGGTCTTTTTGGTAACAGGTGGAGTGCCCCCCCCCCTCCCCCACACGAATAGGTAGTCTTTTTGACCCTACAACTTTTGGCTAGCCAAAGAGAAGTTATGTAGACATGTGCTTGATCTGCCTTGATTTGGATAGTATGGGAAGAGAGGAATGGCAGAATTTTCAATGATACAGAAAGAAATAAGGAAGCAGTGTGGGAATGTGAAATCTCTAGACCTATTTTTAAATTTCTTTTCTGATGATATTTGGCAAAATTAGGAAGCTATAGCAAGAAGTTCTTCTGTGAAAGAACAAGCCAGCTGCAACTTGGATACCTCCGGAAGAAGGTTTTATCAAGCTAAATTTTGATGGAAGCAGTCTTGGAAACCCAGGGCTGGCTGGCGTAGGAGTATTCGGAGATACTGATGGATACTTTCTTGTGTATATTCAGGTCCCATTGGGGAAGGAGATTCAGTGTATGCTGAACTCCAAGCAGTTTTGTGAGAAGTCAAATTGCTAGAGACCTAAACTATGACAGATTAATAATTGAAGGCCTCTAAACTGAGTAGGGTGGCTGACGGAACCGAAAACAGTGGCTTGAAAATACAGGTAATCAATGAAAGATTTAAATGGTTAATAAGAGATATCACAATTATTATCCAATGGGAGAAGAGGTCAGCAAATAGGATATCTGATTTTTTTTGCAGAACAGGGGGTGTATAAGTCTGAATTATTTGTTGCTCAATTGTAATTCTGATTCTGTAATGGAGACCGCACCTCACGCCTCAGTCTGGATGCTATTATTGTAACACTTTTCACTATCCTTAAGAATATTATCATTATTTATCAAAAAAAGAAAAAAAAAACTAGAAGGGACATAATCAGAAATGAAGTCATTTGAAAGAACCTAGGTATAGATCCAATAGGTGATAAAATGAGAGAAAGTAGACTAAGATAGCATGGTTATGTGCATAGAAAACCATCTACAGAACCCTTAAGAAGTGATCAGCTGCAAGTTGAAGGGGCTAGAAGGGCTCAGGGGCTAGGAGCAGACCAAAAAGGACATGGGTTGAAGTAAGAAATGATTTAAGAGCTTGTAATGGAACAATTGATATCTATTTCAATAAAAGTGCTGCTATTGATCAAAAGAAAATGGAACAATTGATGTGTAAACAGAATGGAATTCAAAATAGGATTCATCTGGCTAAACCCATGTAGAAGGGACAAGGCTTAAATGATGATGATGACAAGTACAACATCAACGCTCCAAATGCTGCCATAGTATCTAAATAAATAAATAACCAAAATCGAAACATAATATATAAATAAATAAATAAACTCTAGGTTTCAAATAAGTGTTCTACTGCCCAGCATGTACATCCTTTTTCTAGATAAGATCATTACACCCCTGAAATAAGAAGGTTCTGAAATCAGAAACACCATACCTTTCATCATCAAAAAATTTGCAGATGTTGCAATAATATTTTGCCATCAAAAATCCGTTGCAGGAAGGTGTAGTGCAACTTGGTCCCACTGCTTGAATCTTCAGGCACCGCATACACATCATTTCTGTTGTTGCTTTCCTGCAAAGAATAAAAATGTAAAACAAATATGCAAACACTGTACTTTGAATTATCCTCAGTGAATGCCAGAAATTTACCTATCCATTGAGTGATCGCTCACTTTATCATGGCAGAACCTACATGTGAATAACTTCCCACAGCAAGCAGCAACAAGTTTGCAGTTTCTTTTGTAGTGTTCACACCCAAATACTTGTTTCTCTGAATCTCGAAATGATGGTGACCATACAATTATTGCTTCACCATTCATAGTTTCCTCTGTTCTTGCTTGAGGTAACTTCTGTTGAGCAGCTAACCACCGACTAATATAAACATAACCCATCTAACAATAAGATTATGCAGTACCTCATGATTAAGATGATTGCATGTTTAGAAGGTTCCTAAAATAAGTGTATCACAGAAACAAACCTAGTCATAAGATTTTGAATAAGATATGCTTTCCTCCTTGGGTCAAGGGTCGAGTCCCGAGAAACCTTTCTTATCTCTGCCTCAAGCTCACTCTGATTCATCCGGAAAATATCCTTCCATCCAGGCTTGAACATTTGATCGCTCTGGTCAAGGCTTTCTTGGATACTGGATCCTGGAAAGGCATAAAAATCTAAATGCATTAAGAGAAACTTTTCCAATATAAACCCAAAATATTACAATTAATAAATATTGGATTTTGCACTTTACTTTAGACACAAATAAGAAAATAAGACAACATAGATAAACTGTAATAATAATGTTACAACAAATTGGAAAAGCATTTTCAGACCTTCATGAGAAATACTACTCTCTGGGTTTGCATCTGGTGAAGATGCTTCAGGAGTCCCTTCCCACCATTCGCTAAGCCATTCGCTGAACATTGTATTTTTGGTTGCCTGCTTCCACGTATCCATCATTTTGTTCTGTTCCTCCTGAGTAAGTACAGAAGTCACCCAAGGTAACATTGATTGGAGCACCTCTGCACCAGTAGTCCCAATTATGCGGCCAACAATTTTTTCTTGCTCCTCCACAGAAAAATGTATGTCAAACAATGGCCATAACTCAAGCTCTTCCCTAAAAACATGTTGATCCAATGTAACTCTCATAGATTTGCACATGCCCTGAAGCTTTGTAGCAAGTTCATTGTACTTCCTATTAAAATCAAAACTGTCAGTGCAAGAATCAACATCATCTCTAGTTGAATCTTCAGATATACTAATCTGCTTCTCATGAAGCTGTGAAAGCTCAGAAAGAGAAGATGAAATATCTGCAAACAGCTTCTCTTCCTGCTTGTGGTCCAGGGTATATGAGTGGCTGACATTATGAAGAGTCTCTTTTGATTCTAATGCTGGAAAGACAATCTCATCTTCAGCATTGCTATGAGCTTTGTACAAGCCCCGTAACAAACGGAATCTTCCACTGAATTGCCTAAGGAATGTCTGATCACAACCAATAAGCTTCCCAGATTCAACATCTAAATACTCAACATCCTTTCTGATAGCTTTATGAAATTTGAATATGTTATCAATGGGTCGTGATGGACAAGCCATGTCAGAAGAGCTAAAATCTGCTTCCCATATAAAAAGACTGGACTTGAAGGAAGGAGCGGATGCAATAAAAGACAGGGAGCGCAAAGACTTTGCTGCAGCAAGTGAACTTATTCCAAGGTTATTACTATTAACTCCTAATCCAGGGACACAGCAAGGCTGATCACTGAAAGATGGATTACATGTATTGACAGTAACATTGCCAGTTTTGCAAGATTCCAAGAAGTTGCCACGTTTAATTGGTCTTCTGTCATCATTTGCTATAATTGGCATTGGTTTTTCCTTATTAGACAATAGAGAGGCACATGCACAGAATGATTGACCATCATCATCTCCAATCTCAATTAACTTTTTCACCGCAAAGCATAAACCAGAAGAGAGACATACATCCTGAGAACGACCCTTAAGTGCCCAGCCAGAGAAAAGAGTAACCAGAGCAGCATCAGATTTTGGAGCTGTATCACATAAATCTGATAAGTGAAATTGAAGATAAAACATGAAAGGAATATGCTGTATGCAGCTTCTGAAGCTAAAAGCTAAAATAAGGACATATGTTAAACCTGCCAAATGCATGTTTCGGAGAAAAGACTTTGCTTCTTCATCACTTAGTGATCTCACCAACCATGGCAAGACACGCTCCACCAATTTCAAAGGCATCACACATAAGCTCTGATACAGTAATTCACGTTGTCTTTTGGGGCTAAAATGCTTCCGTGCAAGTGGAAGAACCTGGAATAATTACAAGGTACTTATTAACTGATTCTTAGAGATGAGAAGGTTTCTTTGACTGTGCAGACTTGAAGCCAATAAGATGATAATGTGTTATTAAATTTCTTCCAATAGGTTAGGGCATGACTATCTTGTTTCCCACTCTCCCCCTTTTGTGAATATTCAAAGGTAAGTAACTTCCAAAACAGGGATGGTTCATTATCATGCAAGTTGAAAGTCCTTGCAGACCAATCTTGGAATTCTTTATTGCATCAAGAAATGGAGCTAACCTGGACTTCCTCATCATGGAAGTGCTTCTGTATGGTTTCCATTATTAGATCAGCATGTGAGTACAGTTTTGCATAAAATGCAACTGGAGTAGAGTTGGCTCCAGCAGTTTGTATACTTTCTATCAGGCATCTAAATTTATTAAATTGACTCTCTTCTTCAGCATGCTCCTGCACAAAAGAGAGTTCTTTATCTACCGCAGGGAATATAACCTTGTCCTCAGCAATGCTGCATCCAGAGAAAGAAATGTACATTTACTAAGGCTGAGATAAATATAAGAAATACATAACTTTAGCAACATGACAATCTTAATATGGAAAAAGAATGAGGTTGTAATTCTTTCTCTGGAAAAGGCAGAATGAACCATAAAATGAAATTCATTTTTCTTTCAATGTTCTGAAAGTGTATAAAAAATGAAAGTTTCACATACTGGTAGACAAAGTGAGGAGTTTTCAGTTTTCAGGATGATGAGATAGCCATTTTATGCTCTATGATAAGGGTGCAAGTCAGCTTATTTCCCAGAATCTTAAGCGTTCATGTTAATTCAATATTAGCATTATTATGTGTGAAAGAACATGGTTATCATGTTTTAGAAAAAGAAATGCCTTTGAACTTAAAATTTTTGTTTTACAACATACATGCATACATTAATATGTATATACCTAAATACTTGCAGAGAAAAAAACTACATAAATATATAGATATATACATTTGTGGATGCACAATTGATAACGCATACATGCATGAGTAGTGAATACACATATACATAAGTACTTACATGCATAAAAACATAATTTTATAAAATCCTCAACCCTAACCCTACCCAAAGTACATCAGGTTCATACTTTTCAACCCTAAACCAAACTTCAATCCAACCCAACCCTAGTTTTTTGGAATGGGTTCGGGCTAACCAAGGATTAAAATGTCGATGCGGTACACCCCATATGGAGTGTATCATATCAGTATCGTGAGGGGGATATGTGGCACACTACAATTAGGCATGGTAACCACCCATTTGTTAATATTGATACAATAAACCCATGTATCAGCCAGTATCATGTTGTATCAACCAATAGGGAAGCCTGGTGTGTTGTCTCTCTATTAAGAAGCTTACAACTAGCATGATTTGAGCCTAGGTTGTCCAACACCCAAATCTAAATGCAGTCATAAACCGCTAAGCCATCTTTCGTCTTGTAATAATAAATGAAATAAAATAACTTTTATGTCTGCATGCAATCCAAGCAAATAGCATGTTGAGCAACTCCAACTGGAAATTAAAAAGAATAATATTCAAAAGGGCAAATTTCTTAAACTACCCCTAAGGTTTAGGAAATTAACTAACTATACCCATACTGTTTCAGTATTGTATTAAAGTACCCCTACTGTTTCTGATAATTGTCGCTATCGTTAAGAAAAAAATAAAATGTCGAAGTTGCCCTCCACTGTTTCTCAAATTTTCAAAATAAAACCCAACTGCTAAAAAAATTTCTCCAGCCACCGTAGCTGGTATGCAGCATCCCTTTCTTCTGCATCATCAGACCATGGTCTCTGCCGTTAATTCAGTTGTTTCCTATTTCCTTCTGATATACTTCTGATGAAACATTTGCCACAAAGAAGAAGAATAATGTCTTAGCGTTTATGCACTGTTTAATTGAATATTCGAAGTGAGTTCCGTTGTTCTTCAGACATTTGTTTTATGGTTATTTTGGTTGGGTGCTTAGGAAATTTAATAAGACCAATAGGAATTGCAAAGATGGAGTGGTTGGTGGTGGGAGCAGGAAAATGGCTAAATATCTCTTACCAAAATACTGCTGGACAGGGGAAGGCACTTTGCCCTTTTGTGTTTATGGAGACAGGTAGGAAATACTGCTCAAAACAGTTGGTTTGAATTACAGAAGACTCAAAGTTCTGGGTTGATTGAATGGGGTGGAACATTACGGAAAAAAAAATGTTAATGAAAGGAAATCAAAATCAACAGGACCGTCTCCTGCCTGATATTCCCACTCTTCACATAGAGACGGGTACACCCAAAAACGAAAGGGTAGGGTTTCCTACTCAAAAACGGAAGTAGTCAGATCTTCATAGCCAAATCCCATTAACAGTTCACATCTGTTATTATCTACACCGGAAAGGCCAAGGTTCCGGTTGCCGGTAGGCTTCATTTGGCATAGGTCTGAACAGATCCGCTCTGAGAGCTAACAAACAGAATGGATGTGCTCTGAGAGCTTTATTGCTCTTTGATATACACGGATGATAATCATCCAGAGGAAGAAGGGTATTTTAGGAATTTTAAAAAATATATTAATCAGGTGATGTCACATGTGACAGAGTGTGACGAAAAGTTAATGGCAGTGGAGGTTTTAGACAATTGTCAGAAAACTTAGGGGATACTTTAAGACAATATGTAAACAGTAAGGGTAGAGTTAGTTAATTTCCTAAACCTTAGGGGTACTTTAAGAAATTTGTCCTTTTCAAAATTAGTATTTTGCAAATGTTAATGGGATAAATAAACTATCAAACCAAAATTTATATCAAGAAATTTATACCAATAAAAATACTGTTTACAAAATATTCAAGAATATAATATTGAATTCAATCTATCAAATCCACTAATCTACATTTACATCAAAAAATGATTTTTTTTTACTTCAGAAAATTTATAAAAATAAAAATGTTAGTAAATTACGAATTTACATATGATATATACCTTAGAAATTTTAATAGATTTCATATATTTTAAGTTAAGATCATATATTTTTATAAATTATTAATTGATATTTTAATTTAAATTTTATAATGAAATATTTATTGTTTACAAAAATAAAAATATTGTTTACCAAACATTTGAGCATTTAATATTTAGTTGACTTTTTGTTATGTTAAAAAGTAAAAATAGAAAATAGAAAATAATTGATATAATAATTGCATTTTTTTGTGTCTTGGACTCTTGATCAATTCATTATCAATAAAATTACATGACATCTATGCATCCTGTAATATTAATTGTAATATATTTCTTCATATATACCATTAAAATATACATTTTTATGTGTTTATACCTTATTTGTGGCTATATTGATATTAAATTTAGTATTATTAACGTATTTATGGGATTTGTATGTGTTCCACTAATGTATCCAAGTGTTTCCATATCTTTCGTCCATATACATGTGTTTCCAAAGCATATCTGTATCTGTATATGTATCCAAGCTGTCCAATATGACACACGATATTATTAATACTTTAACCCTTGGGGCTAAGCCAGCCCAAGTTGTAGGTATGGACTACATACTAATCAAGCAGAGGCAAGGACCCTTCTGGAAGTGTTGATCAAATCCAAATTTCTTGTATACACTAGAGGGAATGGGTTATCCTTCGAATAGAAGGAACATATGGGGAGATTAACGAGAATACTCCAAAATTAACCCTTTCTGCTTTTCTTTTCCATGATATCAGACCAAACAAGAAAAATAGGAAAAGAAAAACTTTACCCTGAAGAATAGAAAAAACAAGAAAATGTTAGAAATTTCAAATGCCAAGCTCTGCAAAGCAGAAAATGCTGTTTGAAGGAGCTCATAATCATATTTTGAGACTAAGGTATCAACGTTCAATAGAAAAGGCACTGCAAGGAAAACAATGATGATAAAATAGATACCTGTGAAAGATGTAAACTTCAGCAATAAACTGCAGCTTCTCATTGAATGCTGATAAATCAGAAAAATCTCCAGAAAGTTGTATCTTCCTAGCCTCCTCAGTTATATCAGTCAACTCCCTTTTTATAGCACTATGCCAGTGCAGGATTTCATTTATAGGATGTACCCCAGTGGAATCAGTTATATCATACTTTGACTCCACATATTTCCTTTTCCGAGTTCTGAAATGGTCACATGCACATTGCACATTCTCAGTTTGATCGAATGATGTGTCAACCTCAGAATCTACATGACACTGGAGTTTATGATCTTCCTCAGTTTTACTCATGGTAGGTATACTTTTACTTTCTGTCCATGTGAATATAACCTTTACAGGATACAAGATTTAGTCAGCTACCATATAATAAGAAAAACACAATCAAAAAAAATTATGCCCAGGGTGGAAATTACCTTCTGAAGAAGCTTTTCTGCTGGGACTATCTTGCATAAGCATTTAAGCATATCCTGATGTTCATCAGATGAAATAGATGAAGCTAACCAGGGAAGGAACTCTGTCATCATATCTACAGGAATGCTGCATAAAAACTGCCAAACCAATGATGCCTGCTCGTCAAATGAGAATTTCTCTATAAGCAAGGGAAAGACCTGCCAAGATCAAAGACAAACTGGAATGATTCAAAAATATATTCTTTTTTTTTTATAATTGATTCAAAAATATATTCTTCTAACACCAAACATCAAATAATCATAGTTGTCAAGGCGACGCCTAGGCGGCAAGGCACCCTTGGAGGCTTACCTCACCTAATCGCCAAGAAGTTTTCTATAGCGTTTTATGAAAAACCTTTATATTCTTAAATTTTTTATGTTATAATTATAAAACAGACATTTTTAAACTAAAACATTTATTTTGTGTGTTTATATACTAATTTCTTTTATTATTTTCTTATTTGTTAGGGTTTAATCAACACAAACATTGCTAAATGCTGTATTGAACCCTCAAACACTTCAAAACCTGAACCAATAAGCAAGGAAGAACATAAAATGCTGTCCAATCAACACATTTTCTATAACAGAAATAGGGGTTCAGCCCTTATATTTTTTTAATTTTCTTTTATTTCTTTTTCTTCTCATGAATATGTTGGAATATGTTGATTTTCTATACTTTAATGAAGTTTATACTTTTCTTATGAAAATTATGCATAAGTATTAAGGAAATATGATTATGGAACCTAGGGAACTACCCTAGGATACATGTTTTTACTTAAAAAAAACCATCGCCTTAGGCGACAAGCCACCCCCCTGTCGCCTAGCCTCACCTTGGCGCCTTGAAAACTATGCAAATAATATTTCTTCAAATGAATATGTCTATTAGTGGCAGGATTAGTTTAGGGGCAGAAAAGACTGTCATAGACAGAAACAAATATTCTATGCTTACATATAGAACTACTCTACTGATGGTCAAGAGATGTGCACAATATAATAGAGAAATAGGGCTGTCAATGGACCAGATATTGGTCCAATATGACTCCATTACAAAGGACCAGGTCCAATCCAATCCAATGAATACTTTGGACCATTTTGGACTGGTCCAATTCAATGTCTGGACTGTCCAATCTGTTCAAATTGGTTTCAACCCAGACCTGGTCCATTGACACCTGTATTCTTGTCTTCTATCAAGGGACCAGATATTGGTTCAATTGGACCCAATTCAACATAAATCCATTACGGATGGACCCGGTCAAATCCAATCCAATAAATACTTTGGACCATTAAGTCTGGACTGGTCTAATTCAATATGTCTTATTGGTCCGTCCAAATTGATTTTGATTTGGATAGGGTCCAAACCAAAACCAGTCTGTTGACACCATAATACTATGGTGAATACAGCTCATTGGGTGCTCATCACCAAGGAGTCCTAAGGCCTAATAGCAGATGATATACTATAAAGATGAGCCACAGTGGCTAGATTTTCCGTTACAAAGAACTATATCAAGTTTTCCAGAGATGGGGAAGCTGAAACTCAATTTTGATAGGTGCAGTCTTGGGAACCTAGGACCTTCAGGCATAGGAGTTGTGGAAAGAGACTATCATAGAAATAGAAGAGGATGCCACTCATATAATTAGACAAATGTGCAATTAAGATTTTATGATCAAGGCCTCAAGCCAACCAGTTCCGCTATGTCTTGTGTAATCCAGGAATACCAAAAAGACTGAAAGGGAAGTTGTAAAAAATGGGCAAATGGCCTTTTGATGGCACTAGTATAAAAAGATCAGCAATATTATATAGTATTGGGCAAAGAAGAAACATCATATCAAGAAAATGAGAATTGTTAAGATGTGGATGCTAAGATGGATGGGAAGCTGCAACACTAATAGAGAATTAGAAAGAAGCATATTGGAAGTGACTTACGATTAGCATCAATATGGTTTTGCATTTACATAAATGATTGAGTGCACAAATGAGCACTAACTTGTTGCAAGAGGAAGGCCAAATAAGACATGGAGTCAAGTAATTAGAATCAAGAAATGAGACGAGGGCTTAATGACATAATTCAATAGAAGAGATGGCTCTCGAAAAGTGCAATGGAGAAACAGGAGTCATCTAACGGATGCCAAATAGTTGGAACTGAGACTCTTTTAAGGTGACCCAAGACTGTTGGCTGAAAATCCAGAATCCCTTTTGACAAAGGCAAGAAGAAAATTTAAGGACTATTAGCATATTCACCTTTTTAGAATACCTTCTTTATAATGATTCTTTTTGTCTCAACTTCTACACTTTCCCAAGTTGATCTCAAAAGAGAATGAGAAATAAAAAAATCTTGGGATACTTTATAAGATTGCCAAGATGCTTATCATAAATAGGAAGATAATTTTAGAAAGATATAAACAGAGCAGAAAGTTGACACTCTTCAATTAGATCCTTTTGTAAAAGTCAAGCATTAACAGAGGCAAGTCATTTATTTGAATAATCTGGCCGTATCTGATTCATGACAAAGTATATTCTTGGCTGCAGAAATCATCATTCACCAAAGGTTGAAAAATCAGCCAGTGATAATAAAAAATAATGGAAAAACAAGACATAACATCTAAAGACTGAAGCACTATAGCTTCCAAGAATTAGAGTTGAAACACAAACAATGAAGAAGATTATTGCTCTTATAAATAAAATCTTGAAGAAGTTAGCATATATGTTCATATGTGAGAAACAGTAGTTTCAATTCTCTGTGCAACTTCAACTCCATGAACATCCTAGCCCGTTCAGAGAGATATTGTCTTACCTAGAAAGTATATAATTGATTAAATAGATAATTGGATTACAGAAAGATCATCTCTCTACAGCCCCCATCATTCATTTCCTTTCAAATACAATGTGGAATTCATGCAAACAAGTGAAAGAAAGCAAATACCTGCTCTTCTTCTTTGGACATGTGCTGACTAAGTGATGTTTGAAGAGCTCCTGCGCAAGAAGCTAACTCTCTGCGAGAGCTTTCATCATTTTGTTTATTTGAATTCAACAGCTCAAACAACTGATCAAAGAGATCACTTTCTCCCTTGTGCTCAAGGGAGTATGTCCGTGCTACATTTTTCACACGTATATCAAGAGCTGGAAAGATAACCTGCATTTTCAAAGGTGTCATTACAAGGTCTGGGTAATGAACCTAAGAATATCATTCCAAGGACATAGCAATAGTATATATGAAAGGGTCCAAAAGGAATGGTTTACTTTGAAAAAATGGGAACACACATCTGGGAAAAGAAGATAAATTAAACCTTAAAAGATGTTAACAAAGAGATTGCATTCAACAGTTTGATTTTTTGGGGAAATAGTGCTTGCAAAGAGGTTGAGAGACATCCAAATCTTACAAAGGGATTCGTAAAAGGAATATGGATCAGGTACATGAAAAGCTATTAACAGGGTTTCAACATAGTTGTCAAAAGCCTTACAATTTATGATACAATTCACAATATCTTACATATGAATTCTTAAAAAAGTTCAAAAAACTCTATGATTATAGTTTGAATCTCATTATTCAACTCATGAATTTTATGATTTATACAATTCATGTGATTTCAATAAGCTCAATCAGGTTCTCTACTTGATCAATCCTTTGTTTTAATTTTTTAACGGGCTTCTGTTTTAAAATTTTACTAGAATAAGATTTATAGAGCTGCAATGGTATTTGGACCAAATCAGATATACCTAGATCAAAATTTGGTTCATTAATATTCAGATTCAAATTGAATCTTATCCATTGGATTTATATCAAGTTCTGTTTGAATTTGGATGTTAATCAAATATTGAATAGCATTATTAAGTTAAAGTAAATAAGCATATATAAAGTAATATATTGAATTCAAATCATCCCTACCCAGATCAAATTCAAATTCAGACAAAAAGATACCATTTGCAGCCTTAAAGATTTTTTTATTGTTACTTAATGGGCTATTTAGAAAGTTTATTAAGTTTATATTCCGTCCCACATAGGTAAAAGAGCCATTTATGTGGGTTAATTAATTTTCATGCTGAACTCAATTGTATCATTTTTACTTTTTGTATAAATGTGGTAAACTTTGTTATATTAAGATGACTAGGTCACTTCTAGTCATTTGGGTTGCCAAGTCAGCTGATACTTGTTGCCTGGGCAAAAAACAAAATGATTGAATAAATACATACATGTTTTATAATGTATTTACTTAACCATTATAAGTATTGTAAATAAATAAATATATTATATTTCACAAATTCCACTCAATAGGTAAGCATCAAAATTAGATACTCAAATTCTGACAGCTACTTAATTTCTCCTATTTTTTTGCCATTCCCAATTCACATTTCATAGAGTAACACTTTCAAATGGTTAACTATTGCAGCTAAAGTAGTCAAAAAATAGGCTGCATCTTGAAAAATATGACATCACACTATCATACAGCCTAAACCTAATTAAGGATATGCCTGAGGGTGCAACAACCAATGTTAAAACACCTAGAGAGAGACATCAAGTTTTATGATTACAATGGATCTTCATCAAGGTTCAACACTTAACCCTTATCTATTTGCATGTATCATAGATGAATTGACTAAACATATTTGAGAGGAGGTCCCAATGTCCAATTTCCAATGATGTATGTTATTTGATGATGACATCACATTGATCAAAAAACAATGACGGCATCATTTTAATTGATGAAACTAATGAAGGATTAAATGCAAAATTATGTTTATGGACAAATACCTAAGAAACAAAAGGCTTTAAAATAAGTAAGAATAAAATAGAATCTACGATATGCAAATTTAATAATAATAGGAGTGAGAATTAGGGTACACTTAGGATTGGAGACCAAGAGATCATACAATGTGACCTTTTCTGATACTTTTTTTTGATAGATAATGATAATTTTATTAATTAGAATAAAAACACAGTATACATCATACAACTCCCCACAAAGAGGCGCAAGGTGCAGCCTCCAAACTACATCATAAAGCTTACAATTGATCCCAAAAGAGCTGATTCCTATGTACCCCTTGTTTGGCTAGGAAAACTGCCAGCCCATTTTCCGATCTTCTTTCCCATTGAACTGTGACTGAGATATTTGAATTTATCCACTTAAATCTTCTCAAGGCCCCCCTGTAAGGCCAGGCTGCCATCTCTGGCTCTTTTAGCCATCCAATAACCAATTTGGAGTCGCCTTCAATCATTAAATGCTTCACTGCCAACTCTTTTGCAATTTCTGCTCCTTGTATCACAGCTTGGAGTTCTGCATTGACTGAATCTCCCATCCCTATAGGACCAGAAAATAGAGCTACAATCTGGCCCTCAGCATTTCTAAAGACTCCCCCTATTCCAGATGGTCCCAGGTTGCCCAAACTACTGCCATCAAAATTTAATTTAATGAAACCTACATCAGGAGGCTTCCAATCCACCGAAGACTTGCTTCTGACTGCAGAACTTTTGGCTAGTTGTTCCAATTCCTACTTATATCATCAAAAGAGTAGGATGAGAATAGGTCCAAGGATTTGACCCAGCTTATGGCCCTACATAAAATACTTTCTAACACACATGTCTGATCCCTGTACTTGTCATTAAAGACTAGCATTTTGTTCCTCGCACACAGCCCACACCAAAGCAGCTCTAGCACACCTCCACAAAACTCTTCCTCTTCTCTTTGGCCTCCTGAAAGTTGTAGGTCAAAAAGATTGCAAATCTGCTCCAGTTCTGTCCACCTGCACCCAAAAAGATCAAAAAACTTTTCCCAAAGGCCTACAACAAAAGGGCAAGTGATTTTATATGGTAGCAACTTTCTTCATTTGCTTTGCATAGGGTACACCAGTTAGGAGAGATACAAAGACTGGGTCTTCTTTTTTGCAAAACATCCAAAGTGTTGATTTTTCCAAGGGAGACTTCCCAACAAAGGGCTCCTGCTTTTGGAGGGACAGGTTTGGACCAAACTTCCTTGTTATGAAAAGGTTGAGGCAGCAGAGAGGAGCACAAGGAAGCAAAGAAAGAAGCACAAGAAAAGGATCCCAAGGGCAAAGGCTTCCAAATACGGGTATCTAGAGAAGGGTCCAAGCAAACAGGATCAATAGTTTTAAGGAGCAAAGCAACCTGGTCAAGCTCAGAATCTCTCAAATCTCTTCTAAAACCCAGGTTCCAGTTTATACTAGAAGAAAAGGAGGAGGGCACAAACCTTTGAAAATTTGAATTGGCTCGTTTTTAAAACATGAGATGGAATACAAGGAGGGAAAGAGGTCCTTGAGGGTGAAGTCACCAATCCAAACATCCTCCCAAAACAAAACCCCATCTCCAGTACAAGCGGCATACCTAATCAGGTTTAAGAAAACATGAAGAATACTATGAATAGCCTTCCAAGGAGATTTCAGCATAGCCCGCTGAGATACACCAGCATCCCAACCATTGCTTGCAACATCATGCACACTCCTTACAACTTTATGCCAAAGTCTTTCCCTTTCTAGAGGCCACCTCCATAGCCATTTGCCTAGCAAGGCTGTATTTTTCCTCCTTAAATTGCCTAATCCCAAACCCCCTACTCCTTCCTACTACACACTATTTCCCACCTAACCACATGATCCTTCCTCCCTTCCCCTCACTCCCATAAGAAATCCCTCATGAATTTCTCTACCTTCAAAGTGCCATTCTAAAGGCCGAGAGAAGGTAAGTTGGCAAGTTTGCAAGAGTAGCTCTTATTAAAGTGATACAATCCCCAAGGGAAATGTAGTTTCTCTTCCAAATTGCCAGCTTCTTTGTGCATTTTTCTACAATCGAATTCCAAAATCTTCCTTCTCTTGGACCATCTCCTAAAGGCATACCCAAGTACTTCAAAGGATAGCTAGAAGTAAGGCAACCTAGGGACTTTGCTACCTCATTCAACTCCTCCATCTCCAAGTTTACCCCCACTAGACAACTCTTTTCAAAATTGACCTTCAACTTCAACACGCATTCAAACAACTTTATTACTCGTTTCAAGTTCCTAGCCTTTAAGGGATCTCCAGTCTCACAAAAAATGATTGTATCATCCACAAATTGCAAATGTGTTACCACAATACCCTCTCTTCCTACCCTCCATCCTCTAAACATGTCCAAACCATCAGCTCTCGAAATGAGCCTACTAAACACATCAGCTACCAGAGTGAAAAGGAAAAGAGAAAGGGGATCCCCTTGTTGGCTGGAAAGGAAGTTGATCCCTGGACTTATAAAGTGAACATCTGCAAACTCCACAAATACTGCCAACAAATCTAACTTGATGATATCCCGACAATACTGAAAGAAAGCCACAGTGAAACCGTCAAGTCCAGGTGCTTTAGATCTATCCATTGAAAACACAACTCCCTTTATTTCTTCCAAGTCAAAATCCTTTTCCAGTAAATTTGCCACCTTAGGGTCCAATTAGGCCACTCTAACCCTTCCACTCTAAGCCTCACATCCCCCTATCTTTTGTAGATTGCCCTGAAATGATTCATGAAACCATTGGCAATCTCCTCTTGATTATCCACAACTTCACCATTGATCTCTAACTTTTCCACGAAGTTCTTTCTCCTTCCATTAGCGATTGCATGGAAAAATTTAGTATTGCCATCCCCTTCCTTAATCCATTGATGCCTTGATTTCTGTCTCCAACAAATCTCTTCCCCAAGCACTATTTCTTCCAACTCCTTTAGGGTCCATCTTAAGTTCATTTCTTCTTCTAAGAAAGAACCATGTCCTTCTTTTTCATCCAAGAGTTCAATTTGCGAGATAACACTTAATTTCTTCTCCTCCACTCTCTCGAAATGCTCCATGTTCCACTCTTTAATTTTACCTTTTAGCCTCTGAATTTTCCTATGGAATTTGACACCCATCCCAAGGGTTCCCACCACTTCTTCACTCCACCACTCTTTAACCTTACGAGTAAAGTCTGGATGTGTTAGCTACATATTTTCAAATTTGAAAGGTTTAGGCCCACTTCAAAAGTTCCTAGTTCCAATGCTTATCGGCTAATGATCTGAAGTGACTCTTGGCAAGGCCCTAGCTAGCAGCCTTAACCAATGTTCTCCCCAATCTGAACTAAAGATGAACCTATCCAACTTAGAGCATCTCGAGGGGGGGGATTGTAGGTTGGA